CAGATCGAAGAACTCCCTTTAATAATTCTTGTAAGTTTGGTTTGGTTTTTACATATTCCCTTAATTTCTGTTTATCTGGAAATGACCTAATTTCACTATCATATTTGAACAAGAGTTTTGCAGGATGTATTATTCTTGGCTGGCAATTTTTTTCTTCCAAGATTTTATATATGTCATCCCATTGCCTTCTTGTCTGCATGGTTTCTGCCAAATAATCTGAGCTTAGTCTTATTGTTTCTCCTCCATATGTGACTTCCTGTTTTTCACGAGCTGCTCTCAGGATTCTTTGTCTTTGGTTTTGGCGAGTGTGATTATGATATCTGTTGGTGATTTTCTTTTGGGGTCTATCCTGTATGGGCTTCGTTGAGCTTCTTGGATGGCCAGCTTTTCATCTTTCATGATATTGGGGAAGTTTTCTGTCAGCAGATCTTCAGTGATCGTCTCTGTATTTTCTGTTTTCTCCTTCTGTTCTGGAATTCTCATCACTTGCAGATTTTTGCTTTTGATTGTATCCCACATAATTCTCAAGGTCTCTTCAATTTTCTTCGTTCTTTTTTCTGATTTATCCTCAAACAGAGTTGTAGCCAAGTGTTTGTCTTCAATGTCGCTGATCCTGTCTTCCACTGTTTCAAACCTGCTGCTCAGCTCTTCTATGATACTGTCCGTTTCTGAAATCTTGTTTATCTTTTGGATGTCTAATTGTTGTTTTTGTATGATTTCTAGCTGTGAGTTTATCTTAGCATTTTGTTCCTGCATAATTTTCCTGAATTCTTCCATTTTTTTGTCTGTGTTTTCCATGAATTTGTCTGCTTTTTCCATGAATTTGTCTGTTTTTTTCTCGTTTGTGTCTGCTTTTTGTTTCAACTCTTGGATATCTCTGAATATTAGAGATTTGAATTCCCTATCAGGTAGTTCTAGTGCCTTTTCTCCTACTGGAAAGTCATCTGGTGTTTTATTTTGGACACCTGCTGGAACCATCGTGTCCTGTTTTTGTAAATGTAAGAACAAGAAAAAACAGAAAAAAAAAAATAACGAGAAAAAGAAATGCCCTCAGGGATCCCTCTGCGTGTCTGTGCAAACTGATGGGGTAGGTCCCAAGCTGCCCAAGCCACGCAGTACTGCCCAGCTAGAACGGGCTCCCAATTTGAGAAAAGAAAAAGAAAACAAACAAGTCAAAACAAACAAAAGCCCTGGGATCCCACCAGCGTGGCAGCATGGGCCGGGAGGCAGTTTCACATTCGAGTGGTGTTTCACAGCCTTTCAGGAAGAAGCAAAGATGGCGCACCAAGCCAGGTATTTGAGAGAATAGAGGGGGAGGTGGTGAGAGATATGGATGAAATCAAAAGAAGCAGAAAAAAGCAACACCATCAGCCAGCAAATGGTGTTCAGGAAGCCAGCCAGTGCAGGTGGGTGGAATCCAACCAGCACTGGGGGGAAGCCGGTGCTTCTCGACCAAGAGACTGTGACCACAGGAAGCAGAGGAGGCCGAGTAGGGGTGAAGAAGGGTGGGGGTGGGAAGACATACATCACTGGTTACCAGTTGTTCTGTCTCCTGCTGGAATCTCCATGAAGCTGCTTTCCCATACCCTCTGTTCAACGATTTCCAATAGGAATCCATGATAGTGGACCTGTGCTGCGTTAGCTGATAGGGGACCTTTGCATGTATCTCTCCTCACTCTCTGTTCTCTGTCAGTTTCTTATTCTATTCAGTGCTTGGCTGAGTTCTTTATCTCTTCATTTGATGCTTAGGGTTTCAGGATTGACGTTTTCTCTGCTTTGCTTGGTTTTTCGGATCTTTGCTGTGGAGGGACGGTGTGGTGCTTCTGTCTGTAGTGCCATGTTACCTGGAAGTCAGCATGGTGTTTTCAGTTGCCTCATATGCATGCGAAAGCTGGACAATGAATAAGGAAGATGGAAGAAGAATTGACGCCTTTGAATTGTGGTCTTGGCGAAGAATATTGATTATACCATGGACTGCCAAAAGAACGAACACATCTGTCTTGGAAGAAGTACAACCAGAATGCTCCTTAGCAGTAGGGATGGTGAGACTGCATCTCACATACTTTGGACATGTTATCAGGAGGGATCAGTCCCTGGAGAAGGACATCATTCTTGGTAAAGTAGAGGATCAACAAAAAAGAGGAATACCGTCAATGAGATGGATTGACGCAGTGGCTGCAACAGTGGGCTCAAGCATAACGATTGTGAGGATGGTGCAGGAATGGACAGTGTTTCGTTCTGTTGTACATAGGGTTGCTATGAGTTGGCAGCTAACAGCAACAGGCGTTAGTTTGCCCAGCCCATCTAAAAAGTGATCTTCACTATATTTACTTTTTATTTCTTGACATTTTCTATTGGTGTAAAAACAGAGTTAACACAACATTTGCCAATTCAGCATTTTTCACATGTACAGTTCAATAATACCAATTGCATCAGTCACGTTGTGCAATCATCACCAATATCTGTTGCCAAATTTTCCATCCCCATAAACAAATGCAATGCTTTCTAAACAATGACCCCTCTCCCCCCTTCCCTCCTGGTGCTGGTAACCACTAATAAAATTTGATCTATATATATTTGCCTATTCTAGGTATTTCATGTAAGTGAGGTCATATAATATTTGCCCTCTTGTGATTGACTTACTTTACTCAGCATATTTTCAAGGTTCATCCATGTTGTATCAGGACTTCCTTTGTCTTTATGTCTGTGTAATACTCCATTGTATGTTCTTCCCTTTTGATGCTGATCAATAACCATATGAACTAGAAACACAGACATTTCTTATAAGCAACATCCACGTGGTATAGAGAGTTCATAATTACAATATTTTTAAATAGTGTATCTGAATACCTTCTACTGCAGTAGTTTTCCTCGTAGTTCATTTATACCATGAGTAGTGAAATTAGGCCTGAGAAAAGTTAAGAAATCTGAGGAACAAATTTTGTCAAGAGAACATTTCCATAGAAATGATTACTTCATGATTTATTACTTTCTGTCCTCTTTTAGGTGTCCCTAGGTGGTACAAACGGTCAGTGCACTTGGCTGTCAACCAAGAGGTTGACAGTTTGAGTCCAACCAGAGGACTGTATTTACTTTTGTGGTAGAAGAGGAAAATTGGACAGTTTTATACTGTACCTACCCTTGTTGCAGCAAATCTGAGGGTAGTTTCTCTGAACACACTGTTGACATGGAGTCACACATCCGTAGCTTTGTGAAGCATTGCATATCAATATGCTTGTCCTTGTTATATGTTACAGCTGAATAATGTGAGATCAATACATTTATTGCAATTGATAGGGTGGCTGTCATCAATTAATACTGTTAATTGGGATTTTGAGGGTTTTTTTATTATCTTTCACTGATAATAGAAAACTTCACAGTTAATTTGAAAATATTTGCTATCTGTATGGGTTTCTTCACAAACTTGGTGGCTCAAAACAACAGAAGTTTATCCTGTCACAGTTCTGGAGACCAGGGGTCCAAAATCAAGGCATCAGTAGGGCCATGCTCCCTCCGAAAGCTCTAAGGGAGAATCCTTCCTTCCCTCTTCCAGCTTCTGGTGGCCCCAGGTGTTCCTTGGCTTGTGGCAGACTTCAGTCTCTGCCTCTGTCTCCACACAGCCATGTTCTCCATGCCTCTGTGTATCCTCCTCTGTCTCTTTTAGGGACATTCTCATTGTATTTAGGGCCTACCCTAATCAGTATGACCTCATTTCGAACCTGACTAATTACATCCATAAAGACCCTATTTCCAACTAAGGTCACATTGTAAGGTTCTGTTGGACGTGAATTTTGCGGGGATACTGTTCAGTCCATCTCACTGTCACTTACTTATAGTTTAACATACTTTACAATTCGTTTCTTTTGTAGACTGTGGTCCATAGCTGTGCGATACAGACGGTGTTTTCTAGAATTTAATAAATATTTAAACAAATAATTGCTTTTTCTCTCCTTTTAAGCAAGCGGACAGACAGATGGAGAGTCACCAGAACTAATTGTTCTCTGTTGCTTTCAGGACAAGCTGCTGCAGGCCAAGAAAGAAATTGAAAAGCAGTCTGTTAATGATAAGCAGGTAAATTCACTGTCTCCAGGATGCATTTTCTGTATTAACCAACCCTTAGTTGTATACTGGAAAAAGGTTACTTCAATGGTGAATAGTTCATTGAAAACAAATAGGATTTCCCTAATTAAAATGCAAACTAGAGAGACCGTTTTTAAAAAGGTGAAATTATTTAAACTGTCTAAGAACTCAGGTTATTCACACACACACACACACACACACACACACACACAATGTGTAGACTCAGCGCATACACACACACACACACGAATGATCAAATAACAGAATGTTTGACTTAGAAAATTATTTTATTTCAGTTATTTCTTTAAATAGACTACATGCAAACACTTAAGGGGAAAGGGCTAGTGGACGTCTTAAATTTTTTAAATATTTTGGTTATGGAATTTTTTAATGAATAAAATTATATGTGTACATGTATATATATATAAAATATATATACATCAGTATAAAACATTGTAAGTTAATAACCACATACTCATCATCCAGCTTGAGAAATAGAATATTACAGAACTCTGAAGCCCCCTGTGTGCCCCACATCAGTCTCATCCCTCATCTCATCTCTAGATGCAGCCTCCAGCTGGTTTTTCTGCTGACCTTCCTTTGCTTTTCGTTCTGATTTTACCATGTGTGCATGTAACCCAAAGTAGTATGTTGTTTAGTTCTACTTCTTTTTGAACTTTATGGCATCATTCTTATTTTTCTGTCAGCTTTATTGCGATGTAATTCATATACAATTGACTCATTTAAAGTGTAAAATTCAGTGGCTTTTAGTGTATTCACAGAGTGGTGCAACCATCATCACAGTCAATTTTAGAACATTTTCATCACCCCATAAAGAAACCCCATATCTGTTAAGCAGTCGCTCCCACTTCTTCCTAACCTCCTCCCCACTAATTACTAATTAGCCCCACTAATCTACTTTTTGCCTCTGTAGACTTGTATGACGTCAGTCTTTATGTATTCCTGTGCAACTAGGTTTCTTCACTAAATATTGCTTTTGAAATCGATCTGTGTTGCTACATACAGATATATAGTTCATTTTTTATCGTTGTGTAATATTCTCCCCTCCCCTCCCCCAAGGCTAAATGCACTTGTTTTCAGGGTTAAGCACAGGCTGAGCAATTCCCCATTGTTACTCTGTGCTGTGTGCCCCTGAGAGTTGGCCAAGTTTGTCTTGCGTGGGCTCTGGGGCTCTGCTTGGTGATCATTTGTCTAGAGAATCTCTGAGTAGCTAGCCTGGATAGTTCCACAGTCAGGAATCTTAAGCCTCCAAGTGAACCAAATATACCTTAGCTCCTAGGTGAGCTCCTCCAGACCAAGATTGACCCTTGGCCTTGAAGTTAATGTCCCACGGCCCATTAGGGCTGTCACCTGGCTCAGCTTCTGAACATGGACCTGAATTAAGGGGACTTCTGGGAGTAGGTATGGTTTGCTTATGTCTTTGTTCCACCTATTGATATTGAATCCCAGTAGGGCAGTCACAGCCATGATCCTGCTCAAGGTGAGGTTTTTTTTTTGTTTTGTTTTGTTTTTTTAACTTATTTATTAGGCAGAACAGAATTTCATATTCTCATGGAATCCAGACTTTCTGGAGCCACTGAGACTGGATGAACCCCCAAAACTTTTGAGATAATCTTTAAACCTTAAATCAAAAATACCCCTGAAGTCTTCTTAAGACCAAACAGTAGTTTAGCTTAACTAGTAAAGAATGTCTGCCTTGAGCATTGTGCTCTTATAAGAACCATCTATATGGGATGAAATTGACAACAGCAACTCGAAAGTTTAGATAGGACACTTAGGGGACAGTGAGTCTATATTAATGAGGGAGGAACAACTCAGAGAAGGAGGGTGAGAATGTGTGCACAACTCAAAGAATGTAATCAGTATCACTGAATTGTACATGTAGAAATAGTTGTATTGGTTTATGTTCTGCTGTGTATATTCTCAACAGCAAAAATAAATTATATTTTTTTTAAAAAAAGTCAGAGCTATCCTCTCTCTCTTGTTCCTGCTTCACTGCTGAATGAATTTGAATTCTTTCCTTGGGGAATCCTCTTGCTATTTACTGTGTGAGGAAAAAATTTTATATCCAAAAATATAAATAAATGAGTGAGTGAAAACAATTTTAAATAAATATATTTCACTTAAAAAAAACTTATTAGGTTCGTTACTCTTTTTAACAATTTTACTGAGATCATTCTCACTTACAGTATGTAATTCGATGGCTTTTGACTGATGTATACACTTGTGAAACCAACCCCATGGTCAAGGGACGGAACTTTTCCATCATCCCCCAAAGTTTCCCCACACCCCTTTGCAGTCCATCCCTCCTTCCACTCCTGACTGTGGCAACCTCTGGCCTGCTTTCTGTCACTGTAGGTTAGTGGCATTTAAGAGGAGTATTTTTATGTTTCTTAAAACATTTTTTGAGTTTATTTACTGCTAACACTGCTAAGAAAATTAAACTTTACTGGTTGCATTGTCAGCAAATTTCAAACACCACAATCTCTACATTCAAAATTGGGCTTCTTCTCCGCTGGAAAAGAATCGCCTTGAATTAAAATACAATTAAATAAAAAAATCTTGCAAAAATAGTTTGAGACACTCACATATCTGTGATATTTTTTTTTTGTTCCCTCCTTTTTAACAGGTGGTGCTTTGTATCTCAGTTGATGTATCTCAGGACTACAACCAAGTAGAGAATGTCATAAAACAAGTAAGAGACTGGGCTAGCTGGAATTAACTCACTTGCATTTTGATTGGTTCTGACCATTTTCCTGGGTGGCTTGGAGTTGGTAAATCTGTCATATAGATTTAATAGTTTTGTGGATTTTATCTATTAGCATTGATTTTCTACTAAGTGGTTTTTCTCTTTTCTTTCTTAATGTTGGCTCTGATAAATCTTCCTAGGCTCAGGAAAAACTGGGTCCAGTGGACATGCTTGTAAACTGTGCAGGAATGTCACTTGCAGGAAAATTTGAAGAGCTGGAAGTTAGTACTTTTGAAGTAAGTAAAAATGTGTGCCCACTTGGGTAGCCCATATGTTAAAAGTAGAAAGAAGCTTTAAGATTGAAACAGATAAAATACATTTAGATGTTAATAGGAACTATAGAAGACTAGAAGAAAGCTGAATAAAGGTTTTGCTGTCAGTACCATGACCAGCTAACCTTTAGAGTCTAGACAAGTCTGTCTGAGCCTCAGTTTCTCAGCTGTTAAATGGAATGAAGCCTCCAATCTCACAGAGATTGCTGTGACAATTCACTGAGGGAATATCTATGGGGAAGTATTTTGTAAACCAAAAGATGTTGGGTTTTCATGTGAAGTATCAGTATTTGGAACAATGGAAAACCCAAGAAAGTTGAAGACAGACTCCCTAGGGGTCTCAATACATGAAAAAAAGATAATGCGTCTTACTTATGTTTATATTTTTAAACAGGTTTGCCATGGAACCTGTCTTGGTAATTCATGTTAGCCCTAAAGAAATGAAGTTAGATTTGAAATCTTTTCTAAGTGCAAAACATTTTTTAGTAGATAATGTTTCAGTCTTTTTCGTATGTTCTATTGAGCCTTCATTATAGTGATGAGGTGTAGATGCTGTATTGGTTTCCTAAGGATGCTGTAACAAAATACCAGAAACTGGGTGGCTTGTAAGAACAGAAATTTATTATCTCACAGTTCTGGGGGCTAGAAGTCCAAATCAGGGCATTGGCTCTGCTTGTTCCTTCTGAGGGTTCTGAGAGAGAAAGTGTTCCGTGCCTCTCTTCCAGCTTCGAGTGGCTTCTGGCAATCCTTGGTGTTCCTTGACTTGTAGGTGCATCTTCACATGGCTGTCTGTTCTCTGTTTCTCTGCCTCTTCACTTTAGAACGACACTAGTCTCACAGGATTAGGACATACCCTACTTTATTATGGCCTCATGTTAACCTACCTGATAACATCTTCAAAGATGTTATTTCCAAACAAGGTCATATTCACAGGTACAAGGGTTAGTACTTCAGCATATCTTTCTGGAGGTCACAATCCAATCCACAACAGATGCTTTACTCTATGAAGTTAAATGATACTTCCTTTTATAGCAAAGGAGACCAGTAGTTTACATGTCTTGCTTCTGGCTGATGGTGTGAAAGCCCCATAAACTGTGATTTCCTTCAGGAGAGCGAAGCTGGAGACATAAGCAGAGGGGGGACTTAACCTAGGACTTGAGTGTCCTCAGATTCCTTTATCAACCAGACATCAAAGGTAGTTGTCTCGGCTTGTATACCTTTATCTGTAAGGAAGCAAAGTGAGACTCTGAAGATTATATCAACAGCTGTGTAAAGAATCGATCAGGGAAAATAGTTGTTATCATAGTCTAGCCATGAAGCGATCAAGGTAACAATGTGGGAGGTGACCAGGAAAAGAGGAGTAGGGCTGTGTGTGTGTACGTGTGTACAAGTGTACAAGTGTACAGAGGGAGAATCAGCCGGCTCACCTTGACTGAATGTGGAAGGCAAAAGGGAATGAGGAACACATAGTTGCATGGTGTTGTTATGTGCCATCAAGTTGATTCCAACTTGTAGTGATCCTCTGGGACAGAGTAGAACTTCCGCATAGGGTTTCCTAGGCTATAACCTTTAAGGGAGCAGATCACCAGGTCTTTTCTCCTGTGGAACTGCTGGGTAGGTTCAAATTGCCAACCTTTAACCATTGTGTCACCAGGGCTCCTCGCATAGTTGTAATAAATAAATGCATAGTTGTGAAGCCAGGACCTTGGAAAGTGGAAGTGTGTCTGTTTGGGGGCATAGTGAGGGAGATTGTTTGCCTTTGCATGTCTCATGGAAGTACTGAGATATCTGAGTGGATGTTGTGTGTAGGTGTGTGATTGTACGCGAGAATAGAAGAAATCAAGTGTATAATGCCAGGGGAATGTGTGTGGCTGTCTGTGACAAGGAGAGAAGGAAGCAGGTGAGATGAGGGAAGAAGTAAGAAAAAAAAAAGAGAAACATATCTATCTGTCTATATATGTGTATGTGTATCTGTCCTGTAGGGTTGCTGTATGGTCACTAAGAGTTGGAATTAACTTGACGGCAGTGAGTTTTTTGGTTTGGGGTGTGTGTGTGTATGCACACACATGTATATGAAGCATGTTGAAATATAAAAAATGCACCATTCCAGTCTTTTTGAAATAAACTCATCTTACTCTTCAGCCTTCAGTCTCCATTCACACTGCCGTTGCCTTCCTTCACTCTCTCCTTCTTTCTTTTTTAGAAAATAACAGTTTATTTCCTCCCCACCCCAGCATCCTTTCCACACCCATATCTTCCCACATAGACTCTTGGTCCCTCTCTTCCCCAGCAGCACCGTTCAGCAGGCAAAAGGTGGGCTTTGGCATCAGACTAAACCTGTTTCAAATCTTAGCTCTGATGGTTTCAAATCTAACCATTTACTAGCTGTGTGATCTCAGGCAGACCATTCTTTTTTATTCTGATCTTAGTTTCATTTCCATCTCTGTGAAATGAGTGTATAGCTCACAAGCTGTGAGGATTAGTAACAATGTGTTTAACTCAGGGTAGATATTTAATAAGTGTTGGTTTCCTTCCCCTTTTATTCCTTCAACCCACAAATATTCAGGCGTGCCTCCAGTGCATCAAGCTTTAGCCTGGGGTCTAGGGATAAACAGTGGTGAGCAAGAGAATAAATAAAGTCTTGGCCCTAGTCAGGTCGGGCAGACCATGACAAGTAAGCGCACAGTGTGAGTTCAGATTGTATCTGGTGCTGTGGAGGACAGAAGCATGGAGCTACCTACCTCTGTCTTCACATGGCCTTCTTCCATATATATGTGTCTCTTCTGTGTCTGTCTGTCTGTCTCTCCTCTTCATATAAGGACACCAGTCATTGGATTTAGGGCCCACCCTACTCAAGTAGGAGCCTTGGTGGCGCAGTGGTTAAGAACTATGGCTGCTAACCAAAAGGGCGGCAGTTCGAATCCACCAGTCGCTCCTTGTAAACCCTATGGGGCAGTTCTACTCTATCCTGTAGGGTCACCATGAGTCAGAATTGACTCAGCGGCAACAGGTGTGGTTTGGTTTTTCTGCTCCAGTGTCATCTCATCTCAATCCTCAACTAATTACATCTACAAAGACCTTATTTCCAAAAAACATCACATTCTGAGGTTTGGGTAGACATGAATTTTGGGCGGCTGTTAGCCCACTGCATGAGGAGAAAACTAATTCTGACCAGTTTTCCACAAAGGACATGCTGTCCTTGTGAGAATGCAGCCCAGTACAGGGTCAGATTGAAACAGGCATCAAGGTCCTGTCTTACTTTAGAGGGTCATTTAATCATTCACTCATTCATCATATCTATTGTACTCCCAAATCAGTTGGGATTGAAGAATTCAAGTCTGGAAAGCGGATAGAACTCTCGCTGAGCGCCTTGAAGGTCTGAGCCTGCTCACTCCCTGTGCTTCTTTGTTCCCTGCAGAGACTAATGAGCATCAACTACCTGGGCAGCGTCTACCCCAGCCGTGCGGTGATCACCACTATGAAGGAGCGCCGCGTGGGCAGGATCGTCTTTGTGTCCTCCCAGGCGGGACAGCTGGGCTTATTTGGCTTCACGGCCTACTCTTCGTCCAAGTTCGCCTTAAGGGGATTAGCTGAAGCTTTGCAGATGGAGGTGATCTTGTATTTGTTTCTATATCTATTCCTGTCAGCTCAGCAGTATCTGTTCCCCTTTAGTTTAGTTTTTTTTTTTTTTTTTTAATTACTAGTCTTTTTCCAAATTATTCCTCCACGATTAATGAAACTCAGTGCCCCCTAAGCAGTGACTCTCTCTCTCCCCCTCTTTCCCACCCCTGGTAGCCACTAATGAATTTTGGTCTCTATATATGTGCCTATTTTATATAAGTGGGATCATACAGTATTTGTCCTATTGTGACTTATTTCACCCAACATAATGTTTTCAAGGTTCATCCATGTTGTAGCATGTATAAGAACTTCATTTCTCTTTGTGACTGAGTAATATTCCATTGTATGTATGTACCACATTCTGATTATCCATTCATCTGCTGGTGGACATTTAGATTGTTTCCACCTTTTGGCTATTGTGAATAGTTCTGCAGTGAACATTGGAATATCTCCTTTACACATGTTGTTGTGTTAAATTAGAGATTTGCAGACTTGACGATAGTGAAGGAGAATTGACTCAACCCCCTAAGTTTTATAGGTAACATTTTTCATTGCTTAAAGGTTATCGTTATGATGGAAGCAAAATGAGTATGGGTTTTTCACTGGCTTGATTTAGTACACAAAGCACTACTAATATCTTCACAGTACTTTTGGCCTAAAATTGTGTGAGTCTGCAGAAGGTTAACCAGATATTTTATTCTGTGGACATTTTTCTTTAATAAAAACATCTGTCCTTGACTGAGTAATGACATTAACATGTGTTTGAGGGAAGAGCTTACATCAGCTACTGTCTAGCTGTCAGCTTTTAGATAAATCTTTTGACTTGGTCTCAGTTTCCCCATCTGTGAAATAAGATGGTTGGACTAAAAATATATTTGAGTCTTAATAACATATTTTAAAGAAATATTGATGAAAGCGAATGCTTTTTATTTTCACAGTTGATAGTACGTTTTGTGGAAGAAGACGTAGTTAGGATTAACATCAAAATACGCGTTTGTCATGATGTGTCCAACCTCATACCTGAGCTCCGAGAGAAGTAGACTTCCACATTATTGTCACGTGGGGATGCTTAGATGGCATCACACCTACCTATCCAAAATCATATACTGAAAAAGGCAAGGTAAAAATTCTTACTGTTGCAGGATAGACTGAAATATAACACGATATCATGGTGTTAAAAGTCAAGCAGAAAATTCATTGTGGTCAACCCTCTTGTAGTAAATAGGATTTGGGAATCTGTATCATGTTTTTAGCTCAGGGGTTGGCAAGTTTCTATAAAAGGCCAGATAGTAAATATTTTAGGCTTTTAGGGCTAGATTGTATCAGTTACAGCTACCCACTCTGCTGTGGTAGCAGGAAAGCAGCCATAGATGATATGTAAACCAACAGGTGTGACTGTGTTCCAATAAAACTTTATTTATGAGAACAGGCAGAGGGCCAGATTGGTCCTTGGACCATAGTTTGGCAATCCCTGATTTAGAAGATCCCAGAAGAGACCTTGATGGTATGTGAAGAGTTCCACACTGCCTTAATGTTGGAAGAGCATTGCAGTACCAACGAGTCGTCTGTCAGTGATGAGGTCTTGATGTGACCTTGCAGCCACTTAGGAACTGTGCTGTTCTCATACCAAAGGAACTAGCCTAGATTTCATTCTCATCAACTTACTTAATACTCTTAATCAGTAATAGATAATTATAATGTGCTTAGCCAATAAGCATGAACAGCTATGGAATTGCAAATAAGAATGCCAGTATTTCTTGGCAGTTTTCACTTTGAAAATTGCCTTTGTGAATAACTGCTTTCTTTTTATAACAAGTATGTAAACTATGTGGAGCAGATGTTGTTAAGGTCCCTCATAGATAAGAAAACTGAGTTTTCAATAAATTGAACCACTCAACATCACATAGTTGCTTTGTGACAGAAGTAATAAGAAAGCCCCTGTCATCTGGCTCCCAGCCTGGCTCCTTGCAGCAGGTGACAGCTCTGTGATTTAGGTCAGGAGGCTGCCCAACCCACTTGGCTTATTTTCTCAGCACTTTACTTTGGTTCTCAAGACCAAGTAGGTGAAGGGGGTACTTGGAAATGAACAGTCCGCTTGTGGGCTTTTTGGCCCTGAGTCGTGTCCTGCAGAGCGACGTCGGGGTCACTCTTTTAGGACAGAGTGAATAATCTGGTGGCCTGGTTTCACTGCACATCAGACAGGGATGTTAATAAAGAAGAGGAAAAGGAAAATGAGTGGCTGGTATAGACGGAGTCCCCCACAGCCCCTCTGGACAATGTGAGTCGGCACTCTTAAGTAGCTGGCGTAGACTTGCAAGTTTCCTTGAATTCTGTCCATGTTTCAATCTGTTGCTGTCGAGTCGGTTCTGATGCATAGCGACCCCATAGGACGGAGCAGAACTGCCCCATAGGGTTTCCAAAGCTGTAGTCTTTACAGAAGCAGACTGCCACATCTTTCTCCCATGGAGCAGCTAGTAGGTTCAGATGGCCATCCTTTCAGTTAGCAGCCAAGTGCTTAACCGCTGTGTCACCAGGGCTGCTAAGATTCCCTTAAAAATATCCTCAAGGAGTCCTGGTGGCACAGTGGTGAAGCACTCGGTTGCTAACTGAAAGGTTGGCAGTTCAAACTCACCCAGCGGCTTTGTGGAAGAAAAGATCTGGCGATCTGCTCCCGTAAAGTGACAGCCTAGAAAACCCTATGAGCAGTTCTCTGTCACATGACATCACGATGAGTCGAAATCAAGTTGGTAGAAGCTAACAAAAATACCCTCACTTAACAAACAAAAATTAACAGAACAAAGCATGTCCTATGAAAAATAGGCTTTGAGGGAAGTAAATTCAGTAATCAAAGGCTTGTTAGAACAACAACTGTTTCTTCATGGTAGAAACTGTGTCAAAACGATTGTTGCCTTACAAGTTTGCAGTATTATGTTTGGAAACTGGATAATTCAGAGTCTGTTTGCCAGGTGCTTTTGTTTTCTGTGAATGAAACCCTCTAGAACTACTCAGACTCTGAGAACTTTTGGTAATCCTCTTTGGTTTAATTAACTTTTAAGTCTTCCTGGTCCCCTGCCACCCCCAAACTAAGGTAGGACCCTTAGAGTCCTTCATGAGTAATTTTGAAGAAATGCTTTTTTGGCAGTTTTTTTTTATTTTTTATTTTCCCTGTTTGATTCTTTTAGATATAAATAGTTTTTTAAGATTTTTTAAAAAGTTAATCTTTTTGGAAAGCAGGCCTGCAAAGTGGGTTTTAGCCAAAGGTGTGGTGGCAGAGACCTAGCAAAGAAAACCAGGTATTTCCTTTTTGCTTTTCTTACCCCAGCCATCTCCTGCCTCCCTCTAACTCTGTTCCCACCTGGTCTAAAGTAAGGGAAAGCTTAAACTCCAGAGCTTCATGTGCACAGCTATACCCTTCTCTCCAGCCTTGTCTTTCTGTTGATGGAATGAGATCAACACATCTCAGGTAGGATTATTTTGATAATAAAGCTATTCTTGGCCAAGTGGTCATCTTTCTGTGTAGGGCTGAGGCCAGGGAAAAGGGAGGAAATGATCACGGGATGGGCATGGGGCAGAGGGAGGACATAGAATGGTCGATCCGCCAGGACAAGGAGAAGCAGACAGAAGATGGGAAAAGGGGGGAACCAGTTAGTGAAGATCTGGTTTGTAAATGACTAGAAAAAGTGGTGATCTCTGAGAGTCAGCATCATCTTACCACGAACAAGTGAGACCAAACGAACCTCATCACTTTTTATAAAAGGGCTTTGAGATTAATAGCAGCCCGGGTGGCATAAGTGGTTTGCAGTTGGTTGTGAACTTGAAGGTTGGCGGTTGGAACCCACCCAGTGCCTCCAAGGAAGAAAAGGCCTGGTGAACTGCTTCCGTAAAGACTACAGCCAAGAAAACCTGATGGGGTAGTTCTGCTCTGTAATGCATGGGGTCGCCATGAATCGAGCACCGACTTGATGGCAGTTGATAGATTAGAGAAGGGGTAGATATAGTTTAGTGTATTTAGATTTTAGCAAACTGTTGACCAGGAGTTTCAGGACACCGTAAGCTCCACGAGGGTAGGGATTATGTCTGCTTTGTTCCCGTCCATGTTCTTCGTTCTCAGAACACTACCGGCACAGGGTCGCGATTCAGTTGGTATGCATTGGATGGATAAATAAGACTGAATCAATGGAGTCTACTAGCCATTGGAGGTACCCAGCCACAGGGTGGGAAAGTCACTTGGCCTGACATGTATAGAGAGGATGCCAGCACCTGGGAAGGGTTTGACCAGCTTCCCTCTTGGTTTCTTGCAGTCCTGACAGTGTGGGATTCCTCTCCATTGAAAAGCTGTTCTGAAAAGCTCTGTTTTAACCATTTGGAAACTCAGCCATAACCTTGAATTTGAGAAGTACTGCTTGAAATGCTGTCTTACATTAGCTTAAGTATCTCAGCACTTACTTATAGTGGGGGAGCAGGGACAGATAAACAGTAAAGAACCAACCGTGTCTGAGCAATCAGCTTCAATTTTCATATAGATGTCTAACAACCACTTGTTGGCAGTTTTTGTAATGGTTTTCTCTGATGCATCACAGAGGGCAAGGCCGTGGGAGAAAAGTTATCTAAGTCCCTGTCTCAAAAACAAGTGGGAGAGAAATTGCTTACTCATCAACCTCACTGCCTGGACCAGATCCCAGCTATTTATGGGCGTAGTTGGGCCTTGAAGCTGCATGTCCTGTCCACGTTGAGTGGTTGAGCTCTGGCACTCCCAAGTTGCACTGGAGCTGAGCCAACAAACACGTCTCCCTTTTGCTACTGAGGGATCCAGGAGGGCTGGGCAGGATCTCCTGCTTGCATGCTTCTCTGGACCCTTGCAGCGCCTTCCACAGGCTTCAGAGCTATGCTTTACAGAGGGCCCTAGGGAAAGTAAAGACTACAAGACAAGAAAAAAAAAAACCAAACTCATTGCCATCGAGTTGATTCCAAGTCATAGTGACCCTATAGGACAGAGTAGAACTGCCACATAGGGCTTCCAAGGCTGTAATCTTTACAGGAGCAGACTGCCACATTGTTCTCCCGTGAAGCAGCTGGTGGGTTTGAACCACCAACCTTTTTTGTTAGCAGCTGAGCACCTAACCACTGCGCCACCAGGGCTCCTTTACAAGATAAGAGGCTGTTGCATTTACGCGGCAGAATTACCATTTTTCTGCCTAGTGAACTCTCCTTAAGATAAGCAAGGGCTGACCTTCGTATCAGCTGCCTCTCCACTTCCAGCTCTCCTCTGTGTTTTTATGAGGACTGAAAAGTGAGCCAACAGCAATAAGAAATGTAGCAGAGAGATTTCAGAGTTGCTGGGAATCCGGGTGGGGAAGACTGCAGGGGCTGAGCAGTGTCCTGCCGAAGGTCAGGTCTCAGCTGACCAGAGAAGACACTGCAGGGCTGTTGGGCATGTTGATGAGTAGGTGAGCTAAGTGTGGGGGCCTGGTGGTGAGGTGAGCAAGCAAAGAACCCATTCCCGGGATTAGAGGAATGAGATGGAGTTCCAGCTAGGGCAAGGGAACGGTGAAGAGAAGATGGGAAATAGGGTCGAGGGTGTCCACTGGGAAGTGCCTGGCTGGTTTCACTTGCTGTTTGTGGGTTCTCTGGAGGACTGAGTAAATCCTGACCCCTCCTGGGCAGGGGCTGGTTGTAGACGGGGTTCTTGAATAAGCAAACTTCTCAGGGGATGATATCATTCCAAATGTCGGTCCAGATGGCACAAGAATTCTGTAGGAGAAGGGATTGCAATGATCCCGACATACCAACTTTATCCTACAACTTTTCTGTTGAAATTTTAATTCCTGCTGACATAGGTTCTGAAACATAATGAGAGTATCAGAAGCAGCCTCAAAGGGAAAACACGTTAACAATCTGAGGAGCAGGCTTGTCCCATTGCTTTGTAAACAGTGCTTGCGTGTTGGACTGGTGTGTGGGGAATCAGCAGACCTTTTTTTTGAAGCACTGTGTTTTCCTAATTGGACGGCTGCCAGGGTCTTTGCCTGGTCAGTGTGAGGGGAAGAAACTTAGGAGGATGTGGTTTGCCACATCTTTGTTGTTAGCTGCCGTAGAGTTGGCCGCCAACTCATGGCCACCCCCCAGTTACAATGGAACAAGATGCTGCCTGGTTCTGAGCCATCCCCGTGATCAGTCACAGTTTGAACTATAGTGATCTGTAGGGTTTTTGTTAGCCTATTTTCAGATAGTAGTCTGTATTAGTCTGGAAGCCCCACTGAAACCTGTTTGGCATGATAGCAACACATAAGCCTCCACTGACAGGTAGTGGCTGTGCATGAGGCACATCAGCCAGGAATTGAACCTGGGTCTCCCTCATGGAAGGCGAGAATTCTACCACTGAACCACCATTGTCCCCTTGCCATAACTTAGGTCAGCCGTTTTCTGGAGTAGAGGTTACGGTGAGCCTTTTGCCTTTATTTCTAAAGGAGCTTTGTGGACACAAGGTTCCTGCCTCATTGGGGTAGCTTACACTCACAGAATCACCCTGTTGGCCTTGCCATCTTTTGAGAACATCAGCAGTATTCACAAAGTATGCCTGGCCGTCAGTGCCAACTGGTGTCTTGTTTACTGAAAGTGCATGTGTTGTTTCTAAATGCAGGTCAAGCCGTATAACATCTATGTTACAGTGGCCTACCCACCAGACACAGACACCCCCGGCCTCGCAGAAGAAAACAAAACAAAGGTGAGCATTCCTGTGTGTCCCACGTCGAGTCTTTAATGTTGTAAACCCCTTTCCCGACTCCCTGCCTTTTTACCCATCAGCCCCGCAGTCATTTTAGCCAGTCAGCCATGTTTACTGAGTATCTATTGGGTACAGAGTGTTGACCACCTTCCTGAGGTTCTCCAGGCAAATCTTCGTTCCTTCCTCTCTTCCCCTATCGCCTTTCCTTAAAATGTCATTTACGTTTTTACCGAATTTTTATCAAAGTAATAGATCCTACTTGGGGTCTGTATGAGTCGGAATGGACTGGACGACAACTAACAACAATACATCACACAGTTGTAGAAGTCAAATGTTAATCCCTTGCCTCATCCCTCTTGTTCCCGATTCCTGCTACCCCGAGGCAGCCGTTTACTTTCTTAGCTGTTTCTTCTGGTGTTCACACCCAGTTTCCAACGAACATGTTTATACTGTTACTACTTTTTGTTTGTTTGTTTTTTTTAAGATTTAGAAATTATTTATTGACTTTCTACTATGGAAGATAAAATTTAAGGCTCATACATACTCCCCACTCTCCATTGTCTCCCCCATCTTTGATTAAATTAGGTTCCGTGTTTATTAGTAGGATTTTATAAATACTATTCGTAGTTACAGGATTGCTATGAGTTATAATCGACTCGACAGCAATGGGTTCTTTTTTTTTTTTTTAATTCACAGCTAAACCCTGTAGTATTCTATAGTGGTATTTCCTTTCTTGCCTTTTCATTTGCTTAGTCTTGTAGGTGGTTGTTGTTAGGTTCCGTCAAGGTGGTTCTGACTCATAATAGTTGTACTCATATTTACAACCGAATGAAACACTGCGTGGCCCTGCACCATCCTCATGATTGTTGTTATGCTTGAGTCCATTCCATCGTTGCAGCCACTGTGTCAGCCCATCTTGATGAGGGTCTTCCTCTTTGTTGCTGACCCTCTACTTTACCAAGCATGATACCCGTCTCCAGGGACTGGTCCCTCCTGATAACGTCTCCAAAGTTATGTAAGACAAAGTCTTGCCATTCTTGCTTCTAATGAGCTTTCAGGCTGTACTTCTTCCCAAACAGATTTGTTTGTTCTTGTGGCGGTCCATGGTATATTGAATATCTTCACCAGCACCGTAATTCAAAGGCATCAGTTCTTCTTTGGTCTTCCTTAGTGATTGTCTAGCTTTCACATACACGCGCATGAGACGATTGAAAACACCATGGCTTGGGTCAGGCACACCTTAGTCCTTGAAGTGACGTCTTGTAGCTGTTGATAACTGATTCATTCCCAGATTTAGACGGAGCTGAAAACCTCCTTTTGATGCGTTCTGATGCATTAGGTGTTCACTTAGTTTCACTTTTTCCTTGAAGGCATTTCCCCTGGAATCTTCCTGGTCCAGTCAAGACCGGCTGCTCAGCCTGGTCTCGATATGTCTCTTCACCATCATGCTGCAAATTCCTTTTTCCTTTGTTGGATCCCTTGTCTTCATCATTTTTGGTTTACCTGCTCTTTTTGGTGGAACTGTCTTCCCTGGGTGGTGCAAACCAGTGGTGCTTGGCTATTAACTGAAAGCGTGGAGATTCAAGTCCACACTCAGAAGTATCTTGTAAGAAAGGCTGGTGATCTACTTCTGAAAAATCAGCCATTGAAATCTGTGAAGCACAGTCTACTCCAACACGCACGGGATCACCGTGAGTCAGAATGGACTCAGCGGCAACTAGTTTAGCTTCCCGTACTTCCTGAGAAAGGGTATGTCAGAGGTAAAAAAAAAAAAAAAAAAATTAACCTTGCATGTTTGAAAATGTCTTTATTTTCCCTTTATTCTTGCTTTGTTGGATATAGAATTCTAGGTGGGAAGTAATGTACTCTCAGATTTTTACAGGCATTTCCTCATTGACTTCTAGCTTCTGGAGTTTCTTTTGGCAATCGATGGCATTTTGATTTGATACAATCTTTTGTATAGGACCTATTTTTTTTTTAAAGCATTTTATCCCATATTATCTTTATCTAATGTATTTTGGTGTGAATATTTTCATTTAATATGCTAGGTATTCAGATGCACCCTTTTATTCTGTCAGCTGATAAACTTCAATTCTGGGAAGTTTTATTATGTGGTAAAGCCTGGGAAAGCCGGAACCTGTGTAAGGTGAAAACCTGTCATAAAGGAAAACTAGAGTATTTTCCATTAAAAGGAGAGACAGCAAAGTGGTGAGACTGCACCCTGTCTAAGGTGGAAAACTTGCAAGACCCAGAAAAACAAGGCAGTCTCGTCAAGTTCCGGCCGTCAAAGGTTTCACTGTATTCTTTGATCATTTCCTGCCATCTAAAATATTTTAACTGTTCATTCTTTCTGGAGCTTCTATTATTCCAATATTGGACTTTCTAGACAGACCTTCTAATTTACTTCCTTTTTCTCTTATTTTCTATCTCTTTGTCTTTTTGTTCTAGTATCTAGTTTTATTAACTTTTATCCTTCAACTTTTCTGTTGAAATTTTTATTCCTGCTGACATATTTTAAAAAATTTTTTAGACCTCTTTTCTCTGAATATTTTTTAAGTATAGATAGTTTTTATAGTCTTGGCTTTGTTCCTTGGATTTCCTTTTGTCTATTTCTAAGGATATTAATTCTGCACTCTTGTTTTTGTTGATGTTTGTTTGAAATTTTTCTCTGTTCCCCTGGATTGTGTATTTCCTCTGAGTGCCTTTTTCTCCGTTGATATTGTTTGAGACGTTCCTCAAATGTCTGGTGGTTCTTAGTTGTCCATAGTTAGGAGTGAGGCACTACCATGCCATTGTCAAGCTCTGGCTTCTCAGCTCTTAGCTTCCATAGGCCATCAGGACGGACACGGCCACTTCATTAGAAGACTCCCGTATGTCGGCATCAGCGAGTCTTTCCTCCTGGGTAACCCGTTGCCCAGGGAGGAATCATGGAGACTGCTGCCTCAGAGTAAGACAGCTGTCTGCACTGTGGAGCCAAGCAGGGCAGGAGGGCTGGGGAGCTCAGCGTCATCCTGCCAACTTCCACTTCATTTTCCAGTTTTCAGCAGGTGCCTCATAACTGCTCTTGGTAGTGCCTGGTGTCCTAGAATTGAGTCTCTGATTTAACTTCTCCAGAGAGTAAACTGCTAACCTGCCATTGTAGAGGAGATAGTTTGGGGATGTGACTACGTCTTTTATAGGCTTTGAACCGATCATCCTGATTTTAAGGAGGTAACTGGTGCCTTAGACTCTTGAGTCTTTCTTGATTCTGCCGTGTGAACTGTTGGCTTTCCCTTTGCAGGGAAGCTTTCTCCAGTCTGCTTTTCACTTTAGCATGAAAACTTGGTTGACATACCTTGTCTACTGCCATTTGCTCTCCTCTCCTCTTCGTCCTTTTGGATATAGGCCCTTTCTATTCCTTTACTCTAATTTTAAAAGTGTAGTTATTGGAGGCAGAGATGGTTGGGGAGACCGAGGTAAAAGCATGTGTTCATATCATCATGCTTCACCAGAAGTCTGATGTGGATTTTCAATAGCTCTCTTCCATACGTGCTGTGCCTCCTGTGTCCCACATGCCATGGAATCAGATGGAAGGGCAGAGATGAGTAACAGATTGGCAGTGCCCTTCAGGAGTGAGTAGTCTAGAGAGAGCCAGTTGTTCAGGTAAATGCATCAGCACAGAGTTGTAGTGCTCAAATGGAGGTGTGTCCAGAGTGCAGGAGGACTGACTGCTGGGATAGAAGATTGGGGACAACATCACAGAGAAGGTGCCATTGGGAATGGTACTGACACTTTTTTTCTGGAGGCACAAAAGGCTGGCACGTTTGGAGAACGAGGTGCCTGGAACATGGGGGCCTTGGGAGTTGGCGTGAAGATGAGAAGGTGTTTGGGGCTTGGACTGTGATGGGCCTTATATGCCAAGCTGAAGGGTTTGCACTTGAACCTCCTGATAGTGGAAGCATGGAAGGTTGTTTTCAACAGGGAGTTAAGCACTCAGGTGTGTGTTTTAGAAAGCTGGTGAATTAAGAAAGAGGGGCTGGAGGTAGGAGAGGTAGTTGATCTCTTTTCTCTCTTTATATGTTCACCATGTTCTTCCTAGAGCAGAGTATTTTCTCAGAACATCCTCATCTAGTTCTAACTGGTCACTCCTAGCCCTGGTTTAAGGAACCCTGGTGGCGCAATGGTTAAGTGCTTGGCTGTTAACCAAAAGGTTGATGGTTTGAACCTACCAGCCACTTTGTGGGAGAAAAGACCTGGCGATCTGCTCCTGTAAAGAATTCAACCTAGGAAACACGGTAGAGCAGTTCTGCTCTGTCCTACAGGGTCACTGTGAGTCAGAATCTGCTTTGTTTTCTCTTCATCTCCCTCTCTGCCCCACCTGGAGAAGTCAGCTAGAACCTCTGTAGCAGAAACTAGCAGTGAAAACAGTTGTCATGCCTTGAGTATCATTCACAGGCTATCACTACTGTGATCCAAGCATTGGTATTTTCAACATGACATTGAAAAGAAGATTATCATTCATTCAGAAAGTTGAGTTACTTTCAATTTATGTACTAGTTAGAGGCCTCTGAACTTCCTGGAACTTTCATTTGGAATCCTGGGAGAATTTAGCCATCATTTCTAAAGGCTGTGATTTTTGCTAATAATCTTCAAAGCCTTATTTCATTAATAAAGTATTTTTTATGATGTAGAGTACAGCCAGTATATTTAATTAATGAGTTGATATTCTTTAAAAATAATATTCTCTTCCCTGAATTTAAATATCTGCCTATTCTGTGGGTCACTCGGATGGCTAATGGGCACTGTCTTGGTTATCTCGTGCTGTTATAACATAAATACCACAAGTGAGTGGGTTTAACAAACAAATTTATTTCCTCACAGTTCAGGAGTTCAGAAGTCCCACTTTAGGGTGCCAGCTCATGGAGAAGGCTTTCTGTCTCTATTAGCTCTGAAGGAAGGTCCTTGTCTCTTTGAGCTTCTGCTCCTGGGCCGTTGTCATGTGGCTTGACGTCTCTCTTCCCCATCTCTGTTTTCTCGCCTGCTCATTTAATCTCTTTTATATCTCAGAAGAGATTGACTCAAAACACACCCTACACTGATCCTGTCTCATTAATATAAAAGACAACCCATTCCCAAACAGGATTATAACCACAGGCATAAACCCGTTGCTGTCGAGTCAATTCCGACTCATGGTGACCCTACAGGACAGAGTAGAACTGTTGCATAGGATTTCCAAGGAGCGACTGGTGGATTCAGACTGCCAGCCATGTGGATTAGCAGCCAAGCTCTTAAGCACTGTGCCCCCACAGGCATAGAGGCTAGGATTCACAACACATATTTTTGGTGGACACAATTCAATCCATAACAGACAACCTTAGACTTAACTTTTCAGAAACTGAACTTTGGGTTTTCCTTCTCTTCTGACCCCACCTCATTATTTTCTATCTCATTGCCCAGCCACCCACCGTTCACTCAGTTTCCCAGGCTGGAAACCTTGAAGCCAGCCTCAATTCCTTCTCTCATATCCCATGTCCAGCTGATCTGCAAATCCTCGGCACTATTCTCAGGACATGTCCTGAATCAGACCTTTTTCTTAACTGCATCTACCACTTCCATACTAGTAATGACAGCCTGTTTTTGCCTGAGCTACTTTAATAGCCTTCCGAGTAGTCTGTCTGCTTCTGTTCTTAGCCTCTTCTTCATGTAGTAGCCATTGATCCTCATAAAACATAAATCAGGTCTCGTCACCCCCGTTTAGAACCTCTTGTGCTGCATGTCCAGTCAGACGTTCTGTGATAATGGACATGTCCTGTCTGCATTCTCCAATGTGGTAGTCAGTTGTGGAGGTTAAGCACTTGAAATGTGGCTGGTGGGACTAGAAACTGATTTTTTAATTTTATTTAATTTTAACTAATTTTAAAATTGAAATTAAATAGCATGTGTTGCTAGTGGCTACGTATTGGAGAGCATGGCTCTGATGGCTCCATTATGCCTGGAATAAAAACCAAAGGACTTGAGGTTTACAAGGCCCCATCCCATCTGGACGTTGGCCACCTCTCCCACAACATTTCTGCCCGCTTCCTGTGTGCAGCCACGCTGGATCCCTCTCTGTTCACTAAGCTGCCAGGCCTCTTCTCGTCCTAGGGCGTTGCCCGTGTTGTTCCCTTTCTTTGGATGTTCGTTTGAATGGCTCGTTCCGTTACTTCATTCATCTCTGTTCAGCTATCACCTTGGAGAGGACCTCTCTGATCCTCTGTATCTAAAATATCATTCCCCCAATTCACTCACCTCCCCCTTACTGGCTTTATTTTTCTCCATAACACATATTGCTGCCAAACCAAAATAAACCAAACCCATTACCATCAGGTCAGTTCTGACTCGTGGCAACTCCATGTGTTGCAGAGTAGAACTGCTCAGTGGCGTTTTCTTGGCTGTAATCTTTAGGGAAGCAGATGGCCAGGCCTTTCTTTCTTGGCACACACATAAAACGACTGTTACTCCTCCCGAGTGCAGTGCACACTTCATAAGTTCACAGAAATGTCCTCTTTGAACGAATGGATTAATAAAGTGAAGAAGAAAGGAATCAATCAGAACTTACCACCTTGAACTGAGGTTGATTTCAATTTTCTTTTATAGTAATGCTTATTGAGAGTCAGTCTCTTCCACATAAAAATTGGCACTTAGGCACCATAGACTGTATATTTGTAAAAAGATGTTTGTGATTTGGAAGCTTTTTTCCCCCTATTCTTTTCTCTTTGGCTCTGCCTGTTTTTAAATTACTACAATTTCAGAGAAGTAAATTTAAGCCAAATGTCCTGTGTTGGAGTGAGTAGAGATCTGCTAAGCAGATTTATAAGATTTGGTAAGCAGTCTTTTAGTCTCAAGCAGGAGTGGAGAAAGGGTGGTGATTTCCCTGTTAAGATTTGATTTAGATGTTGATTAAGTTGGGAGTTTTTTTTCCTCCAGTAAGGACAGGCTTCTTTGGGTAAATAAAATTCTACGTTAGCCTGTGGATCCTTTAGGGGATGCTGTAATGCTTTGAAATCTAATGTGTCTCTAGCACGGGTAACAAAGTGCCAGCCTGGTGGCCTGGAAGACTGAATGGTGGCACCTTCAGAAGGGCTTTTCTCTTAATTCAGGTTCATCAAGAACCAACTGCCTTTTATGAAGTGCTTTGCTTTTCTGTTTAAAAAAAACATGTATTTTGGTTTTGATTTTGTTTAATGCTTTCAAGCCTACATGCTAAATAAAATTTACAGTCTTGTGCAATTTAAGGCTTTAGTTTTGAAATTTCTAACCCAGACTCCCTCATAAAGAATTTTGAAGCACTCGTGTGCAGGATACCACCAAGAAGAGTCAGAGATAAATGAAAAAAGATGCTGCCCCCAAGGAAGTTGGAGGGTACAATGCAAATACACGAGCAGCTATATGATAAGGCAGAAACACTCAGACTCGAGGGGAGAGGGGTTGAAATTGAGGTTACTTCCATTAAGAATTCAGGAAAGGCTTTCTGAGCTAGGTGACAGTTGAGATGGATTTTTACACATCTTTTGAAGAACGAAAGCCAAGATTTAGGATTCTGAAGCATCAGCCCAGTAAGTGAAACATAGCCAAGCTAAAAAAAACAAGCAAACAAAAAACAGTTGCCATTGAGTCAGTTCTGACTCATGGTGACCCCATGTGTGTCAGAGTAGAACGGTGCTCTGTAGGCTTTTCAATGGCTGATTTTCCGGAAGTAGACCTCCAGGCCTTTCTTCGAGTTGCCTCTGGGTGGACTCGAACCTCTCACATTTTGGTTAGTAGCCGAGTACGTTAACCATAAGGAGCTCTGAAACATAGCCAAGCTAAAAAAAACAAGCAAACAAAAAACAGTTGCCATTGAGTCCGTTCTGACTCATGGTGACCCCATGTGTGTCAAAGTAGAACGGTGCTCTGTAGGCTTTTCAATGGCTGATTTTTCGGAAGTAGACCTCCAGGCCTTTCTTCGAGTTGCCTCTGGGTGGACTCGAACCTCTCACCTTTCGGTTAGTAGCCGAGTACATTAACCATAAGGAGCTCTGGTGGTGCAGTGGTTAAAGCACTCAGCTGCTAACCAAAAGGTCTGCAATTTGAACCCACCAGCTACTCCATGGGAGAAAGATGTGGCAGCCTGCTTCCGTAAAGGTTTACAGCCTTGGAAGCCCTGTGGGGAAGTACTACTCTGTCCTGTAGGGTTGCTGTGAGTCAGAATGACAGCAGGGGGTTTGGGTTTTTTGTTTTTTGTTTATTTGCATGGATTCCCACACAGCCAAGCAAAGGACTGCTTAATGTTTCATCATAAGCAGCTCTTCCTCTTTCAGTCTGCAGTCTCCCTGCCTCTTTGCAGGTCTCTTAAGAAACAGCTGGAGTGGTTGAACAGGGGCTGAGTGGGCTTTTCCTGCTCAGGGGCCTCAGCTCTGTCCTCAGGCATTGACCCTGTGCTGCCCTGTGAGGTGGCCAGAGCGACACACGGGTGGCCAGGGCACACCGTCTAGGCTCTGCACAAACACCACTGGCTGGTTGTCTGGCCAGCAGTGAGGAGTCAAAGGAGGGGAGCGCTGACTTGCATCCAGTGGTGTGTTCTCGCTGGGATGGTTCTCACTGCAGCAGAGACCCACATGGCCCACAGAGAGTGGCAGGGGTCTCCTTGTCTCACTTGAGCTTACTGGGTGGAATTTTACCCAAAGTAACCAGGTCGATACTGATTTGAATCCAGATAGACCTTGTTCTAAAACTAGGAAACTGCTCAGTGGTAGAAAATTGCAATTATCAGTAAACTGGGGGGCTGTAAGAATGATGGATTTTTTTATTTGACGGGCAATAATGGTATTCATATGTACATTTTTTCCACTTTAAGCCTTTGGAGACTCGACTTATTTCAGAGACCACATCTGTCTGCAAACCAGAGCAGGTGGCCAAACAAATTGTTAAAGATGCCATAGTAAGTAAAATCCTCATTTTGTTTTCTTTATTAATGGTTGTAGTACTGTATTTCTGAAAAGGTATTTGTCCAGGGTCTTATTTTAAAACATAAATTACTGTATTTTTTTGGCCAATTAGGTTCATCTAATATTGGGCTCTTCTTTTCCTCCCTTAGATACTCTATTGATTAAGTTTTAATTAGTAGGCATCTGAAGGCTAATTATTATCTTAACCTTAGAAACAGTTTTAGCAGTGTAGCCTGTTTGGGAACTTAGGTTTTTTAAAAAGAAAATGAGATGTATCTGTGATGTGTAAATATTGTTTACGACGTAACAGCATGTTGCTTTCTTTTTTTCCACAGTGCTTTTAGATTATTTTAGTTCCTTATTACCAGGCCCATTGATGGAGGATTTTTCTTTCCCTTTCCAGCTGCCCAGTATCATTTTCCCAAATGCTAACTTAATAAGAAAGCGCAGCCAGCCCGCTGGGCCCATCGGCATGTCAGCCCCGCTAGTGAGCTTTCTGGGCTACTGAGTTTACTTTGAATCAAAATGATATATTTAAAAGCCATGTGTTATGTTTCATTTTTTTTTTTAAGAATAATAACATTTGTGCCACATGTTTTCTGACACGCAGAAATATATACATTCATGAGGGGTGTCTATAAATCTTAGACCTACATTGAATTTAGAAAGTTTTTAGGACAACTGGAATGAGAAGCGTCAGCACACTGTAACAGCCTGGAAGGGATGTAAGTATTGTTGCATCAGGCTAAACTAAGTAGAAATCAAACTCTATTGAAATATATCCACCACCATTAGTTGCAGTCAAGTTGATTCCAATTCATGGCCACGCCATATGTGTCAGAGTAAAACTGTGCTCGATAGTGTTTTCAGTGGCTGATTTTTCAGAAATGGATCACCAGGCCTTTCATCTGAGGTGCTTCTGGGTGGACTCGAACCTCCAACCTTTTGGTTAGCAGCCAAGCACGTTAACTGTTTGTACCACGCAGGGACTCCATTGAAATATATACAGACGTGAAAACTGCCCTGATGGCATTAAAAGGCCTAGGAAGTTGGCAGAACTGGATTGGGCAGGACTTTGTGTTTCCTGCTTATTTGAAGTCAAAGGAAGTCCACTCGGTGTTTTTAAAGATCCTAAGGTTGGAGGTTTGAATCCACCCAGTGGTGCCTTGGAGGAAAGGCTTGGTGATCTTCTTCCAAAAAGTCAGCCATTGAAACCCTGTGGAGCATAGTTCTACTCTGACACACATGGGGTCACCATGGGTCAGAATCGACTCAACAGCAACTGGGTTTTTTTTAGTAGCCCTTCATATTTTGATAGGATTCATTTAGTCCAGCTGTTCTCAAACTTTTTCATCTCAGGACCACTTTACACTCTTAAAAATTAATAACCCCAGAGAACTTTCGTTTACATGAGTTATGTTTGTTAATATTTGGCATATTAGAAATTATAACTATGTCATTAAAAATATATATTAATTCATTTAAAATAGTAATAAATCCATATTGTAATGTAACATTTTTATGAAAAATAATCATTTCTCAAAACAAAAATTTAACGAGAAGGTGGCATTATTTTACATTTTCCCCCATCTCTTTAAATGTCTGTGTTAATAGAAGACAGCTGAATTCTCACAGCTGATACTTCACTCAGTCTCTTGTAATATGTCGTTTTGATTTGAGGATGTGAAGAAAATCTGACCTTACACAGATACATAGTTGGAAAAGGGAGGCATATTTTACCAGGCTTTTCAGATAATTGTCAATATCTGGTTTTGATGTAAACCAAAACTCAACAAGTGGTAGTTTCTTAAAGGTTAGCTGTAACTTGGAATTGGAAACTATATCAATGAACTTTTTGTTCTCCATTATATTAAAATCCATTGGTCTATCTTGCACTTTGAATGGATATCTTAACCATTCATGATTTTGTAGCATTCCACATTAGTCTTTTGGAAAATATGGGTTCACTAAGTTATGGGAGAAAAAATCACATTCATTAATATCACTGCTGATCTTATAGAAGTATGTGTTTGGAAGCTGACAAACTCAGGATGGTGGATACAAGTTATCACAAATTTTAGTTTTTGCCTTATAGCTCGGATTTTATCATTGACCACAAATGTTGTCTGTTGCTTTCCTTGAAGTGACAGGTTCCCTTCATTCACTTAACACAAAATGTTGGGTTCCCAAGTCTGAATAACCACAGATCATCTGTCTGTAGTTCTTGCATGTAAAAATGATGTTCTGTGAAAGAAGAGGTAGTTCAGCCCGTGACTTAAACAGTTGCACAAATGCTGTCTTCAGAGCAGCCATCCCCCTTCCGTATGGCTCGCAGCCTGAGTGCTTTATGCATACGTCTCATTTGGTCCCACAGAACACTGAGAAGACACGTCCTCAAGGGATGAGCTTTAATAAAAGAATGAGTTTTATTGCTTCGTCAAGGGCATTTTAAACAAAAGTGACATTTAAATATTTTTTAGGGTTTTTCATTTTTATTTTGTTGGTGTATTTGTGTATGACTGCACTGCGTGTGGCCTTGGAGGTTTGCGATTCCTAGTCCAGTTTGGCGCCATGACAGGATTCATGCAGATGCACCAGTAGTTTGCCCATCAGTGCAGTTGTCACTGCAGCGAAAAAGGCAGTTAACATCTTGGTATAATTGTGACCATGGTTTTCTCCTCATGGACCCCCAGAAAGGGTCTCCGGGACCCCAGGTTCCGTGGACCCTGTTTTGAGGACTGCTAATCTAGCTGTGGAGCCCTGGTGGGGCAGTGGTTAAGAGCTCGGCTGCTAACCAAAAGGTCAGCAGTTCAAATCCACCAGCCGCTCTTTGGAAACCCTATGGGGTGCTACTCTGTCCTGTAGGGTTGCTGTGAGTTAGAATCAACTTGATGGCAACAGGTTTTTTGATCTAGTCATTCCTGTCGCTCTGCCAAGGCCATGCTCTACTAGGTGCTTGGCTGCCCTCTTATCCCACCCAGAGTGAACTAGCTCACATCACTGTTTCTGGTGTGTTGAATGGATTCCCTTCCATGTTACACTAGTCCCTCTTTTCTCTTCCATTCTGTTTTAGCAAGGCAATTTCAACAGTTCCATTGGCTCAGATGGGTACATGCTCTCATCCCTGACCTGTGGAATGGCTCCAGTAACTTCTATCACTGAAGGACTCCAGCAGGTAAGTTCTGCCTGAACCATTAGACAGACAGACAGGTGGATGGACAGACAAAGATGGCCTCTCATTAAGCCTCGATGGAAAAAAGCTGAAGAAAGAGTCAGTAATTTTGAGGATGCAAAGAATTTTAATTGAAGTATCAACTTTTTATCTTTCTCTACCAAAGATAAATAAATAGGAAAGGTGAAAGATATAACTTAAGAAATTTATACTGGGAAGAAGTCTTATGTGCCGGGCACTGCGCATATCGAAATAAACCGCTATCTGTAGGGTCTGACTTCTGTGCTCAGAACATAAATCTTGAACCAAAAAACAAAAAAGCCTTGATTGTAGTTTGAATATTTGGGATATGGGATTGGATCTCTCCTGGCTATTATAACTCTAAAATGACTAAATATCTACTTTGTCCTTTTTCTGATTTGAATTTATAAATTGAACAAACCCTGTGTTGCTCTGTCTGGCAGGCCCTGTGCTGTACAATGGTACAGAGCTGACGTATTTCACTGATATTTACAAAGTTTCCCTTAGACTTGGAACTGATTAAAAGATGTGTCTCAGAGACTCTTTTCTAGAGACATTCCCGTAAATACCTTGAAAATTGCACGCTGGCTGAGCTGACAGGCTGCTCTGTGTCTTGCAGGTGGTGACCATGGGCCTTTTCCGCACGATCGCTTTGTTTTACCTTGGAAGCTTCGATAGCATAGTCCGTCGCTGCATGATGCAAAGAGCGAAATCTGAAGTTGCAGACAAAACTGCCTGATTCTTATCCCTCGGAAAAAGGACTGTTTCTCAGTAATGTGGACAGCTTGCTGCTAAGTGAGGCTCAGTTTCTGGCTGCAGACACTAATGTGTTGTTTCTGAACATGTGAGATTGGACCAGTGCTCTTCAGAAACGGGGCTGTGCATGCGGGGATAGAAGTTTGCCTCCAGATGATATTATTAATACTATGCAAACGTGGACTAGGAGGCCATTGGGCTTTCTGGGCCATGAGGCAGAGAGGTGGTAGTGTGGGGACTGAGAGTGTGTAATCAGGGTAGAAAACAGAATTCCAGAGTGAGAATTTAAATGTTTTTATATTTATTATTGCTTCTTTCCCCCTTAGTAATTGAGTCCAGAAATGTACTTCATGGCACGTAAACAGTCGTGAAGGCTTTTTCAACCTTCCATGAAAGGCAGTTTAAGGGTTCTTGGGGCCCTGCCTTTTTTTTTTTTTTTTTTTTAATTTGGAGTATTTTATTCAAGTTGAGCTTGACGCATTGCCAGTGAGTCTAGACGCATTCGAATGTCTCTGACACCAAGTGTTATACACACGACTCTCCCTGCTGCTGGTGGAAAAAGCTCACTCTTTCTCTCTCTCTTTGATCCCAGAAAGCTACAGGGGGGACGAGAGAGAGCAAAGCAGTGGAAGGCAAGGCTATCAGGTTTAATAGATAAACATTTTCCAGGAGGAAAAATAATGCTTTCTTATCTTCTTTAGATGTGAATGCTTAGGGAACTTTTCATTTTTCATTCCTGGGGAAAGGCAGCCTCCTCAGTTGTTTTCTGAAGAGAAATAAAACCTTAGAAGCTTAAAAGTTTACAATTTCTTAAAATAGCCATGATGACCTGAAGTTCACCTATCTGATTATCATGTCTTCTTTCCTTCTCTTCCTTTCCAGTTTTGCTTATCCTGCTGTAATATTTTTGTACCAGAAAAAAAGCTAAAATTTTTGACTTAGACTTTTTAAATTAATTCATGAATGAATTTAAAACAACTGAAAAAATAAAAAGGTGTACAATTCTTCTCGTAGCATATATGTAGCTTTCAGGAAAGGCCGAAGATAGTATATTTAAATTTTACTCATTAAGGGAAAAGGTAGGGCAAGGCTGATTTTGAAGATAAAATGATCTCGTTTTGGAAATAAAATGATCACCTCGTTCCTTCTGTGACACTCCCACCGGCTCTGTGAACATTATGTTCGTACCATGTGTTAAGGAAGCCCACTCATCACTCTGACTCTGCCCTGGAAATCCTCATGGCCCCTGAAGGTTGTGTCTAGGTTACAGGATCTATTATACATTCAGTGGATTTCCACAGTAAGTGCCTATGATGAGTTTTAGCCAACGCTACCTATTTCATGCTGTTCATCCTGACTTGAGGTTAGTTACCTTCATGTGCATGCCATACACCCCTATTTTTTGCATACACTGTAAACACACACACACACGCACGCATGCACGCACGCACGCACGCACGCACCCACACACTAGAACATTCCAGTTCTCTTTGGTGAGAAAAGACCTCTGCTTTTGAAGAAGAAACTTTTTTGTAAAAATCAAAACAAAATACAAAACTACAAAAGGTTGAAGGCTTAAAAACTATTAAAAAACAAAAAAGAAACCATTGCCATCAAGTCGATTCCGACTCATGGCGACCCCTTGTGCGCAGAGGAGAACTGCACTCTGCAGGGTTTTCATGGCTGCGACATTTCAAAAGCCCATCGCTAGGCCTGTCTTCCAGGGCGCCTCTGGGTGGGTTTCAACTGCCAACCTTTCCGTTAGTCGAGCGCTTAACCGTTTGTGCCACCCTTTTTTTGCTCTTGAGTTTTTGAACCTCTTGACATGAAAATGACTTAATTTTTAAATAAGATGTTTAATGGCTTTAATTCATGGTATCTTTTTATTGAGATCTGAGAGTAGCATATTCTAAACAACTAGTAAATACAGAAGAAATGATGAGTTAGTATATAGGTTGCATCAAATTACAGTTTATGAGGGTGGGTTGATGCGAACGTGATTTTGTGAATCTTTCAGACTTACCTAGTGAGGGCTCCCAGACTGTGTTGGGTCACCTTGTGCAGATGCTGCAATGGGATAACGGCTGTATTCCTAATTCACAGAAAACAGTTACATTAATGTATGGGATTTGCTCAATTTTAGGCTTTTCTCATAAAAGTTCCTTGAATTTTGGCACCTTCTACTGCTGGTCCATATTAAAATCTAGTCCACGATGGTGTCTGGCTTAATAAAATTGAGTATCAATAGTTATTTTAAAATGCATTTTTCAAGGTGTCCCACAGAGAGTACTGTCACCCGCAGATAATCTGCCAAGTTTAAGAGGTTTGCGGTGGGAGATATGATCCCTAACCCAGTTTAAGCTCAAGCGTGAGGGCAGATTTTCGGACATTGTAGTTATCTGAAGTGTCAGGAAATGAGTTTCCTCATCAGAGGTATTACAGGCCCATAGTCCCTTATCCAAAAAGCGTTGAAAACTAAATTGTTCTAAGTCTGGTGTTACCAGTCATTTGGTGGCAAAACCTGACTTGAACTGACACGAGGTTATAGAGTGTGTATTTATCCCCATTCATGTGACTGTTCATTAATACACCTGAAGGAATGTTAATGGGTTTGATTATAGGGTATTGCCCCAGCCTCTGTGGAGGTGTTTTGTAATATCCGGTATATGCCCCATCTTACCTTCTTAAAATCCAAAAAATTACGAATTCTAATACCTAAAGGGCTTTGGACAAGGGATTGTAGATATTAAGTCACATTGCACAATGGTTGGGCCTCATCCAAAAAGTGAAAATGTTACAAGGTAAATTCTATTTTCTCTTTTTTTTTTTTTTTCTTGATTCGTGTACAACTCTTTTTTTAAAAACGTACTGTTTTGTTCAGGGAGAAAAAGAACAAACAAACCCTGAGTCAGATTGTTGGGGAAACTATTAGCTTTTCTTTTTAGAGGATCACATTGTTTCAGCACCTTCTGTACCTAGAACGAGTAGGTTTTACCTGTGGCAAAAGAAGTTTAATTCTCTTGAGACGTTGACTCTATGTGACCAACAACAGCTTATTATGCGAATTTCAGTTCTGAAGTGCCTGCCTCTGCTGGGCTTGGTTGTACTGTTTTATTATATGTATTTGTGAATATATTTAGTTAAAAACGTTTAATGTCATTCAGCTGTAGAAATTACAGTATGTTTAAGGACTCTTCATAATCGAAAAATGTATTTAAAAGAATCCTCATTTCTTTTTACATGAACAAAATCATAGGAATTGTTCTTTTCTCTTTGCTGGATTTTTTTTTTTTTTTCAGTTCAATAATTTACACAGTTGAAAAAACCAAGTTAAAAATGCTGTTAATGGTGCCTGTTTGCATTAATACATATATTTAGTTATAAATCTTTACCTGGATCTGTTAAACCATATGTTGATTCTTGCATATGAAACTTGGAGAGACTTTAATATTTAGATGACAAAATTCTTTTGGTAATAGTTGCTTTAATTGAAAGAATTTCATGTTTTTGTCTTTCTAGAAGAAGGCAACACCGTGGTAATTCTTTTTCCTGAATTATATCAACAGCTTTAATTTTATTACATCATGTTATAATTTAAACATGCATTACTCACTTGTAGCCAGTTTTAAATATTCATACCTTTTTGACATAAGATGCTTTTATATCTTTCTCAGTTCCTTTAATTTTTAGTAACTCAGCTTTTAAAAGTACCTAGTAACCATCATACCCATATTCTGGACTAATGGCTCAGTTTATGGTTCAGTGCAATGAAGGAAGATTTGATATTTTAAAGAGGAGAATAGTAGCTGTTATATTTTACACTTGCTTGATGTGATGACTCTAAGGACACTTTTAAATTAATGAAAGTGCACATGGCTATTTTGATACCTGTTAGAACTTGTGTTTGCTACTTCAGAAGCTTTTGTGGTAGAACTGTAAACTAATTTTCATATCTTGTATTTCATATCTTGTATCACAACAAAAAATAAATGGGGAACAAGCTTTACAGATTGGAAAACTTATTTTTCTGGAAATTTGCATTTTTTAAAAGACCGTTAAGCAAAACACAAACCTCTACTATAACGTAATCCTGAGTTTGCATCCTAAACGCTTGACAAAACCTGATTTTTATCATTTTTTAGGAAATAATGTTTTCAGAGTAAATACTCCATTTTCTGAGCTCTTGTTTCAAATATGTTCTGTGTTTATGTGAATCTGTTGTGGGTTACATGAGTAAAAGGAAAAAGAAATGTGGAATTAATAACATTTAAGTAATTATGTTTTATATATAAATGAATGAATTTCCCATACTTAAGCCTTCATATTCTAACAATGAAATATCTCCTGAAGGGCAGCGAACTATAGAAGACTGGTAGGTAAGAGAACACACTTTAAGATTTCTCAATCTTTATTTATTTATTTATTATACTTTTTTTTTTTAATTGTACTTCAGGTGAAGGTTTACAGAACAAATAGTTTCTCATTATAACAGTTGTACACATATTGTTTTATGACATTGGTTAACAACCCCACGACATGTCAACCCTCTCCCTTCTCGACCTTTTTTTTTTTTTTTTTGGTGAAAATATACATAGCCAAAGATACACTATTTAAAAAATTTCTACATGCACAGTTTGGTGACATCAACTATGCTCTTCCAGTTGTGCTGCTGTTCTCACTTTAGATGAGGGTTTACAGAACAAAATAGTTTTTCATTAAACGGTGCACATGTTGCCCTATGACAATAGTTAACAACCTCACTACACATCAACGCTGTCCTTACTCAATGTTGGGTTCCCTATCACCAGCTTTACTGTCCCCTTCTACCTTCTAGCCCTCGTCCCTGGACTGCTGTGCCTCATTAGTCCCATTTTGTTCTATGGGGAGATTTCTCAATCTTTAAATAGAAGAATTTGAGTCACATTGAGGAGACACTTCTTGAACATCTTGATTTGCAAGCTTAGCCTTTAAATTTGAGTAATTTTTTACATGAATATGATATAACTTCTGTAATTTTTATGTTTGGACGTCCAGGAAGAAAAGAAAATTGTTTCTTGGTTTCCATTGCACTCTGACTTTATACCCTCCATTCTTCCTCATTCAACATATATTTATTGAGCACCTACAGAGCCCTGGTGGTGCAGTGGTTAAGAGCTCAGCTGCTAACCAAAAGATTGGCAGTTCGAATCCGCCAGCTGCTCTTTGGAAACCCTATGGGGCAGCTCTACTCTGTCCTGTAGGGTCACTATGAGTTGGAATCAACTCGATGGCAGTGGGTTTGGCTTTTTTTGGTATGGTGAATTTAGAGGAGCCCTGGTTGTGCAGTGATTAAGCACTGGGCTACTAATTGAATAGTCAGTAGTTGAACCCAACAGCCACTCCATGTGGCAGTCTGCTTCTGTAAAGATTAAAACCAAAAACCGATTGCTATCTAGTCAATTCTGACTCATAGCCACCCTATAGGACAGAGTAGAACTGCTCCATAGGGTTTCCAAGGCTGTAAATCTTTACGGAAGCAGACTGCCACATCTTTCTCCCGAGGAGCGGCTAGTGGTTCCAACCACCAACCTTTTGGTTAGCAGCTGAGTACTTAACCATTGTGCCACCAGGGCTCCTTTTCTGTAAAGTTTACAGCCTAGGAAAGGCTATGGGGCAGATCTCTCCAGTCCTATAGGGTCACTATGAGTCACAATGGGTTTTTTTTTTTCTTTTTAAATTGTACTCCAGGTGAAGGTTTACAGAACAAATAATAGTTTCTCATGAAACATTAGTACACATGTTGTTTTATGACATTGGTTAACAACCCCACAACATGTCAACCCTCTCGCTTCTCGACCTTGTTTTTTTTTTGGTGAAGATATACATAGCCAAAGATACACCATTTCAAAAATTTCTACCTGCACAGTTCAGTGACATCAGCTATGGTCTTCCAATTGTGCTGCTATTCTCACTTTAGATGAAGGTTTACAGAACAAAAGTTTCTCATTAAACAGTACACATGTTGCCCTATGACAATGGTTAACAACCTCACATCAACACTATCCCTACTCAACCTTCGGTTCCCTATCATCAGCTTTCCTGTCCCCTTCCGCCTTCTAGTCCTTGTCCCTGGACTGCTGTGCCTCATTAGTCCCATTTGGTTTTATGGGGCTGTCCACTCCCCAACTGAATGGTGAACCTCCGAAGTGACTTCACCACTGAGCTAAAAGGATGTCTGGGGGCCATATTCTCAGAGTTTCTCCAGTCTCCTTTTGGCTAGTAATCTCGTCTTTTTTTTTTTGAGTTAGAATTTTGTTCTACATCCTTCTCCAGCTCTGTCCAGAACCCTCTGTTGTGATCCTGGTCAGAGCAGTCAGTGGTGGTAGGCAGGCATCATCTAGCTGTACTGGACTCAGTCTGGTGGAGGCCTTGGTAGCTGTGGTCCATTAGTCTTTTGGACTAATCTTTCCCTTGTATCCTGTTCATTCTCCCTTGCTCCCGAAGGGATGAGACCAGTGGAGTATCTTAGATGGCTGCTCACAGGCTTTTAAGACCCGAGACACTACTCACCAAGGTAGAATGTAGAACAATGCCTTTATAAGCTGTGTTATGCCAGTTGAGCTAGATGTTCCCCAAGACCAAGGGCAATGGGCTTTTTAAGG